ATGTGAAATTGCACACCTGCAAAACTAATGCCTCATTTTCTTGGTAGCAAATGGTGTAATTAGGATCAAAACACATTTTTAGTTATAGCCTCCTTGTTTTTACAGGCTCTTTGCTTTCCATGTTAACTCCCTTTGTAAACCTTTCACCGTCGCCTGAAATGGCTTTTAAATTAAGAAAAGAACATTTCCCCCTCAGCATTCTTGAAAGTTAGTAAAAGCTGAAATACATCATTCCATATCCTCCCCCTCAGATTTTATTACCTAAAAATATTGGGGGGTTTTGTTTATTCGTATATTTTAAGGGCACATAGTAAAATTACTTACATTTTTAAAATTGCAGGTTTGAAATCTTGACTGAAGAGTTTTTTGGGTTTTGGCTATTTCCTTTAATTTATCATTAAGATTTTGAGAGATTTAAGGCTTCAGTGCAAAAATGAAAGGATTGGAATAGGGACCAAATTGCAATAAAAGGGATACGTCAGTCAGAAGGAGGTTTCCAAGTTGCTTAAGTTCGGAAGTGCACGCTGTGCCATTTATGTGTGTTCAGTGAAGAGAAGACCTACTTTATGTAAGTTAAGACACAGTATTTTGATATTTGCGTGCAAAGATAAAAGGCCCTACTTTGAATGTAATAAGAGGACATAAACCTTAATTTCTGTATTTTCTTTAAGCATCTTTAAGCAGCATCAGCAAGGCTGTACTCTGTTTTTTCTCTGTGCTCATACATACTGTATTATATTGGTGATGTATGGTTTTACAGGTTTAACAGTTCACATAAGAAAAAGGATTTTCATCTTGCTGCTTTTCAAATTATTTTCCATGACAGTTCAAAAATTACAAAAAACACTGAAGCAGTTGTTTGGGTTGCCTCCAACTTAAAGTCATCTTCTGGAAGTGGGTGTTTGAGGAAAGGTGCATCTGTACCCAGGGCTTTGCCCACTCAGGAAGAGATGGAGAGGAGCCTGCAAGCACTCATTCAAACTAGAGAAAGCTTTTTGGAGCCCACTGACCCTTGTCTGAAGTTCAGGCGAAGGTTTCTGGCAGATGCTTCAGTGGGTGCTCTACCGACACTAGCCTGAGATGGGGTCATGGCTCAGCAACAGCAGCTGGTGGATTTCCACCTCTGAAGCTGAGAGTTAGGCAGAGTCCTTCCATGCAAATCTGGTGTTCCCAAAGGGTTAAAAGTGGTAGCTCTTGTAAATACATTCTATAGAATTGGAGAAAGCTGACTCTACTTGTAAATTATTTTTTTTTAAGTTCTGTAGAATATTCTTGTACCTTCATTTATGTATGCAACTAAACTACCTTTGTCTACTTCAAATTGAATTTAATACTCTTACCTGGCAATAGGAAGTGGTAGGAAGAAAACACGTGCATCCTTGGCAAACACAGTGCTCGGGGACTGTGCAAAGGTTAATGGTTCCTGCTGATGGTCATGAGATAGGATGATCTTGAATAAGAGCATTGTTACGTAAAAATAAAGCAAGTCCTTTTGCAAAATGGGGTAGATGGTTTCTTTCCTTTTGCACTGGTGTTCTGTGTCTCCTAGGACACCGTTCCTGAAAATAAGAAAATGCCTGCTTTGTTTCTGGGTCCTGCTTCAAGATTCTGCTTTGACCATAGGATAGTTTTATCTGTTTAAAGGATAAATACCTTTGTGGATAGAATATGCTTACTATGCATAGAGAAGCCTATCATTTCCTCCTTCTCTAAATGTAGTGGATAGACCACCACTACATGTTGTGTTCATGTTTCTACTTTTTCTACATCTTCTACTAATCATTTATTCTAAAGTGTTTTAGCTGGAGGAAACATCTGTTGCAAAACCAAACGTTTATATTCATGCAAACTGGCAGTTGTGTCAGCTCCTTAAAGTGTTGTTCTTCAGGATCTCTTTGTAAACAGATGTGCAGTTCATGGTAAACCTTCTTTAATAATTGAGTTAAGTACGATTAAAGTATCTGGAATCTGTTTGAGCTACTGAAGTGACTTTGAAGTTTATTGTACTTTTTATGAAAATACGATTTCTTGGATTTTGCATTACAAATATATGCTAAAGTTGTGTGGAATTTTGAGCACAGTTCTCTGCAGACCGTACAATGAGCAAAGTCTTCATAATGCTAAAATGGGTGAAGTTACGTTTATGATTATTAATTTATTATTAAATTAGATGTATTAATCATGAGACGTACAGTTTCTTCACCGATTTTCCTCATGGACCTCCTTGGTTCTAAATCGGACTTTTAAAGGTTTGATTATAAAAAATTAGTTTAATCTGTTCACTTGCAAAACACTTAGCACTATAGTGTAGCAACCAGCCCCAAAGAAGCTGTTGTGTGATGAAAGTAGTGTTTTGTATTTCAGTTACGAGGATGGAGCTCGATACCTCTCCCACTCTGTGCTGTCAAATAAAGAGGAATTTTAATTCAATTTAAACCTTGTTCAGTTTGATCTTCTGTAGAAAAGTATTGGATCCTGAAGCCAGTTTTTGCAATAGCATCCTGCTTTACATTATTGGTGAGCTGTTTTTCCTCTAGGAGGACGGAGAGGAGAAGAAGGCAGAGGGTTGACTGGTCTTTAAAATTCATCAGAGAACCACTAGTTCTAGTATTAAGTTTTATTAGGTTAAAACCGTGTCCATCTTTTTAAAAGCAAAACAGAATGTTGTAGTTCACAGTCTGAGTTTAGTGCCACTCAAGCTTTAATGGTTTTATACAGTCTTTACTTTTCAAATTACTTTTTTCCTCTTCTGTGGCTTGATTCTGTATACAGTTTCCTTCATTTCTACACTATTTACCTGCAATGTTTACAGTAGTTTTTTGTCATCTCCTTTACCATTTATCCCCTTTCGTATCTTCCCAGGCCTCATTTTTTCCTCATTTTAAGGTGTCTGCTCCCTCTTTTCTCTTTCCACAGACCATTTCTCCCTATCAGATGTCCTTCTCTCTTACTTTGCCTTCTCCCAAAACCTAATCTCTCTATTAAAAAAAAAAAAAAAAAAAAAAAAACCCATCCTCTCCTCATTGATAAAGGCAGAAAAGTCTGATAATTTATGGCAAAGATAGTATTAGGGATCAGGATAACTTTATGGTTGGATGCAAAGGCAAGCCATCTAGCTAGCAGCTGTCAGTAAGGTGAAGGTTTGGTTCATGCTGGAGAATTTCCTGGAGATTACTCCCATATACCCAAATGGCTAAAATCACTAGTCAGCTGGTATCTTCATTTAAGTTACTTCAATAAGGAGATTTCCTCTTCATTCCCCTTCTTATCTCAAAACGTTCTGACTTCTTTGGGGAACTTTGTCTTTTATTAAGCCTAACAAAACACAGAAGAGATCATACATTTTTAAGGTCTTAGGCATTGTCTTTTAATTTTCTTTTGCCCTTGTCTTACTCCTCTGAAATGTTGCACATTAGCTTTCATAAATAATTATCATCAGTTGTGAAACTGTTTTGTTTTGAAATGCAAGTATTTTACAGAGAAAGGGGCAGAATTGATCCTTTCCAGCTATTCATTTAATAACCAGACATAAGTTATTCTCTGTCTTTGGTAGCTGTGCTGTAGTCTTCACTGCAACAGTGGTTACTCACATTTTGGACAGATGAAGGACTTCACTCTTAAGGTTTTAAGAAAATGTGTGGTATTTCCATTGTGTTGATTTGTGCAGGTCATCACAGGATTCACTGGGATAAGTGTTGGCAGAAACCTTGCTGGCCGAGTATCTTATGTAGCTGCTTGTTCAGGGTGGAGGTATCAAATGATCATCCTTTGCAGTTTGTAACATAATAGAGTATATTACCCCAGACTAACCAAGAGCCACAGGAATTTAAGTAAGACAGAATTGACAGAAAATGGAGGTGGGGATAAATACAAGTCCAGCATCTTTTCTTAAGAAGTTTAGTTTTCAAAAAAAATCTTGATTTGATGTGCCGAAGAAACTTGAAACTTGGTTCAGTTTTGCTCCATGCTAGCAAGCAGTTGTCAGTCAGTAGAGATCGTCTACCCAAGCTGAAGGTGAAAATGAGCAGGGTGGAATTGCATGCAACTAGACTTCCCTGTTACATTTTCTCCAGTCTGTAACTGAAGAATGTTTCAAACTTTCTCTTGCTTTTACTCAAGGTGGTCAAGCTTGATGGGTCTTCAGCTCCTTATGTTTTGACTATGAAAAAAAAAAAAAAGTATGGCTCGAACTTTCAAAATAAGTATAAGTCTCCATTTTATTGCTGGACTTTGGTCAGTAGCTCTCCAGGTGCGTTATAAAAGATGCTAGTATTTCAGAAATCTTCACTAATTTGCCATGTCCATCTTGACACAGGGTCTGTTTTCAAAACACGTTGAAACACTCGCATTTTCTGACTTAAAAGGAAAAAAAGAAAAAAAAAAGAGCGTAAAACAATAAAACTCAACCCTGTAGGCAGAATGTCTCATTGCAATAGTTACGGGGTTTCTTTTTAATTATATGTGGTGAAAAACTTGTAGATGATAGCCACTCTTTGGAGGTGGAGGTAAGACAAGAAAAGATCCCTTGCCTGAGGCCCAGAGTTGAAAATTTAAACCATAGTTATCTGACATTATACTTTCTTGATAATAGCAATGTCACCAGTGATATAATGATGACTTGTCCTCCCATTTAATGGTATGTTGTCCTGCACATAATTGTGTTCATGATAGCAGATGATACAGTAAAATATTTTGGTGGAAGACACAGTTTCCTATATAATAAACTGCTTTTCTGTAGAGCCTGCATTCCCTCAGCAGATCTGGTGGTATCTGCTCTTCCATGGGCAGGAATATATCAACAGAGACTGGTTCTGCAGTTGCAGAGTGTGTCCCAGCCGTTTTAGTGCTGATGCATTACAACAGTGTTGGACTTCCACTGCAGCACATCGTTTTCTGTGGGCCTGCTACTTCGGTCTGCAGATGGGAGAGCAGCCTTAGGAGATGCAAGACTGTTGCTTAACAAAACTTACTTTCTTCCTCCCCTCCCCTTTTCTTCACAGAAAATACCAGAGAGGAACCCGAGTACGCCTGAGACTGCTGGATCTTGAACTCACAGCTAGATTCTTGGGTGCAACTACTGATACAACACTTCTAGAAGCTGATGCGGTGCTTTTAGGGCTTGTGGAAACCAAGCAAACAAAGCAAAAGGAGTAAATGTCATGTAAATAAATGCATTTTGTGCTTTATAGCAAATTATACGAATTAAATGTTTCTTTGGGAAATAAAAGTTTCTGTCCATATGGTTAGGTAAATAATGAGATCAATAAAAGACAATAAACACATTGTACCTGGTTCTTGCTCCATTTTTATTCACTCATCTTTCTAGCACTTTTCCTTTTGATTTAAATGTAAAAGGTTAACTGAACTTCTGTAGGTAATATTGACTGTTTTCATGTTCTTTTATAAAGAATTCAAAAGTACATCTTTCCATCCCAAAGCAATGTTGATCTAAGACATTGTACTTCCGTGGAGGAAGTCCAAAGCTTGCTGTTGTGGTGCTCCTTCCAGTATAGTGTTTCATACAGAACAATGTCAAGGGTTCCTGATTTGCAAGCTGAAGTGCAGAATGTTTACTGCAGGTACTGGTTTTGATCTCTGTTATAATACATCATGTTTTTATCGCAGTCTGCTGAAGAACTAGAGATTATTCTTTGCTTTAATTGGAGTTCTCCAATGTGTGTTAGTAAGTTTTCTCTGGTTAATATGAAGGAAAAGAAAGGCCATTGTAGGTCTTATAAATGTAATGGGTATTTGAATGCAAAACCAAAGAATCATGCTATGTTTTTTCCAGTATTTTTTTGGAGCATTCGCTATCAAAGACCATTTCTTCTGATTTCTGGTATATCCAAGTCTGAATTCTGCATAGTCATTTGTGATCTGCCTAGTGCCTTGCAGGTGTGGTGAGGGCAAGTGAAATTTGCCATTTATACCACTGAATTACAAAAAAATCCCAGTTTAATCTTAAAGTATTTTTCCAAAATATTGGAATAAAATGAGATTTGTTAAGGTGGCATGCCTTGTTTGTCTGCAGTGACAGTCCAGTGACAATGTGTTTCTCACTATATGTACTAATTCAGCAAAATGCACACCGGCTTAAGCATATATTACCCAAAATGTACAGACACCTCATCTTTCTGCTGGAGCAGGCCATGTGAGCAGTGATGGAGCCAGTAAAGGAAGGTATAGCTCCTTCTGCCTCTTATGACTGACTGTATTGGTACTTCAGTCACGTGAGGGAAGAGGAGATAAGGGATCCCTGAACGAGCAGAGTACCAGGGAGCCAGCTCCAGGCTGCCACAGCTCACACACCCCATTCCTTGCCTGCATCTGAGAGAGAGCTGGATCAGATAGCATCAGAGAGCAGAAACTGTGAGCAATTCTGTTAGATTGTAGCAGGCCTGTGGGTCAGATTGCCACCCAAGCTCTTCAACTCTTCATATGGTCCTGCAAAATTAATTTAGAACAGGATAAAAAAGCTTTAATTTGCTTAGAGGTCTTTTCCAAAAACATTGTCATTTCTCTTTTAAAGGTTGTTGCCTTTTGTTTGTTTGTTTGAAAACATACAGAAAGAAAAGCAAAAGGAAAGATGAAGTGCCTTTTTACGTGCAGTCACAGCCCTATGACACAGTGGTTTGATTCTATCTTACTCCTCTGCCTAAAATAAAAAATTGACAAAAGAAACAAAAGGAAATTCCTCTCCTACCTTTGCCCTTTTGTAGCACTGAGAAGAGGGGTATAGTGCAGACATCACCTGCTATGGGTAGTTTCCAAAATACATCTCACGCATAATCTGTCAAGGAAAATATTTTTAATATAAGGTGGATATTTGCCCAAAATACTAGGAGGAATCACATGGAAAATGCATAATCATTCTGAAGGGAATGGGCATGTTTTAGCAGATCCCTTTATAGTTTTGCAAACTGAAGTTTTGTTTCTGGTATCAGTAAGGATCCAAGCAAGAGAGAGGAAACAAGCAATGTGAGCTTATTTTGTTGCTTTAATTTGCTCATTCATCTCAGTGACCTTAATTAGGGGTGTTTGAACATGAACTTCATTGGGTGTTAGCCTCCAGGTAAAGAGTTACCCTAGCACTAGAGTAGGAAAAGGCCTTTTTAAGAAGCCGGAAGGAATTTAAAATACCAAAGAGAAATCCTGTCTGTTGAATGTAACTCATCCTATATGCTTGATCAACCTTATTTGAGTGATTTGGCAGGAAATAAATGCATTAACGTTTTGGGGGCAAGCTAAGAGTTATTTCACAGTAGGGTATCAAATAGTGATTTTATTAAATCTTCCTCTGGATAACCTTTAGAGAAGTGGCTTTTAGAGACTGTAGTGGTTGCTTTATCAGATCCAGCTTAGTGTTTTATTTGGAAACTCACAGGTTCACATAAACTGACCCAGTCTTACAAATCATGTGGTTGACCCTTCAATGTCTTTAGGCTGCTGCTAGCTGTTCTGGGCTTTGGAAAACCAGTTGTTCTCCCAGCTCATCTCCAGTGACCTTCAAGGCAGATATTTATTGGACCTCCAAACTGTTCAGACAAGAATTGTCCCATGGAGGAGTCTCTCTTTGGGGTAGCCTATGCCCATCACATGTTGCCTCAATTCTGTACAACTCCCAAATGCAAAATTATAATGACAGAGCGGGATTTCTGAAATGTCTTTGTGGTGGGCTGCTGGGGTTGTGTTTCATGTTTGTAACGCCTACATATGCCAAGAATGTGTAGACTACATGATCCTAACGCAATGTAAGGAACCCCCAATGTTCATTACAACCATGATGGTACAATTTTTGCATCCCTTGTGTCTTTAAGACTGTTCTCATACTCCAATATTTTATCAGATTAGAAATTGATAATGCAAACAGGTATTTCTAGGGCCATCCATACAGAAGAATAACAAATGCAGATGTTTTTCTGTTGGTTGCCACCTGTCCCCAGGAGTTCCCTTTTTCTTCATGGCCACATGCTTTTTTGTTCCTTCTCTTTGCATTTTCTGCTACCAAACACACACAATCATATGTACAACCCATTATCCTTGGAACAATGCACAGTGAAGTCCCCTTGTCCACATAGTTCAGAATCTGAGTGGCCTTGCATGTGCTTTGGTTTGGGCAGTTGCATGAATCTGACCTTTTGTTTGCAAGTCATCCTTATTTCATCTATGAGGATAGTTGTTTCTACTAACAAAAAGGAAAGGTAAAGCTGCCCCGGCAGCTCCTGCAACACTGTGCCTAGCCTGCTCCACCACCTGCAATACTCTTATCACTTAAGTATACTACATGTATTACTAATATTAACCAAATGAATGCTACTGATTCAACACAGTGAGACTTTGTGGCCATAAGTGTAAATCCATCATTGTGCTGAGAATCGCAAGGCTGGTATAAGCAGAGTTCTGCGACTATGTTCATCTGACTGCCAAAATCAGGAATTTCTCTCTATACCATGCTGTGTTTTCTTCCAAATTTTGTAATTTTGTCTTACTCTGAAGCACTGACCAGATGGGCAAAGGTAAGTGCTAAAATCATATGGATTTAATCTCGCACAATTCATTTTTTTGATGCTGCTGCTGAGAAGAAATTTGGTGTTAGCAGATCTTTGTTTCTTGATCTGTTTTTCAGAAGGTTTTTTTTCCTATAACAGTCTTGATTTTTGAAAGCGTTTAAGGTTTCTTTGCTCTGAAAATTCTCAGGTAACAACACAGACCCCACTTAATTAGCAGATACTCAATTCTCCATCCTCTATCAGATACTGCTTTGCGTGCTGCCCACGTCTCTTAATTGACAAACTTCTCACTTAAATTTGGATGAGCATGACAGATTCATTTTAAGTAGTTGTAGTTCATGCTTGGTGTGGTGTAAAATTTACACTTGAATCTGTAACGCTGAGTGCTTTGAGAAAGCACGGAATGCCATTCCCGCTCAGTTGGGTGCTCTACATACACACTGGTAATAGAGTGCAGGGTGATTCAGCAGCAGGTAGCTGTGGGCAGGTACAAATCTTCACTTCTACACAAGCCAGAAATGTTGCCACACATTCTGCTGGACGCTCTCTTTTTCCAGGCCTGTGACTGAAGTGCCCATGATCTTTACCATATCCCACATCCACTTATTACTCCACCCAAATAATATACCTGAATGTCTGTAGTGCTTTCTGGTTTTACAGATGTGCTTATAATAAGCAAGATTAGCTTTAATAAAAATTGAATCAAAGCTGGTTTGGGTTTTGGCTGAAGCAATACTTTGCCTTCTGTGTTATTCAGTTCCTGTTTTGAAGACTTTAATAGATTTTCCTAAAATTCTATCTTTTATTTTACAAACAGAACATTAAAACATCTTACACATACTTGGAAAGCAAAATAGCTTGATCATGATGTGAAGTTGGAAGAAAAATTAAAATAGTTCAATATTCTTTTGATGACTGATGTGCTATAACAAGACCTAGTAAATCCCTCTGGGTTTGTCTGCCCTTTCATATTCCAGACCTTTAGGTGGTGAGATGGGGAAGAAGGGAAATGCTGAAGAAATCAGGCCTGCCTATTGAGAGCAAATTAGCATCTTGCCACCACAGCTTTGGCACTGAGCTTGTTTCTAAAGAAAAGAATACTTTACATTTTACTTTTCTTTAGGGCATTCTGGAAAGTTTGGGTTCCTCCTCATTTCTTAATACTGTCGCATTTATAAATCAGGGAAATTATTGTTTAAGCTTTTTTCCTGACATTATTCCCTTATGCTGGGAAGGCTTTTCAAGTCTGTTTTGACTGGAGAGCATTTCTGCTAGATACAAGCATGCACTCTGCATGTGTTTTTCAGTAAATTATGCATTCTGGCCAAGTGTTTATCATATATGAAGGGTCTAGACTGACCAAATGAGGCTATAACATTGTCATATGGCCATAACACAAAATAAATATTATCCCTCCTATGACTGTATTAGACTAGACTAACATCACTAAGTTTTTTAATACTCCTAAATGTTCTTCTTTCCTTCTGGGCTGTGTCTTTTTTGATCAGAGTTAACCAGGCTGATGCACTTGCTCTGCACGTCAGCTATAGCGAGGCAGTCAGCCGTTTGTTAACGTTGCAGCCTGGCTGCACCAGGCTGGGTGTCAAGTGCAGCCAAGAGTTACACTTCCCAAATGGATTAATCGATCCAAGGCATATGCACCCCTTGGGGTAGGTGCTGTAGTCACTCTGCAGCTTTGGGTTAATTTGTGAGAGTGGCCACATATTTAAATTATTTTTAAAATGTTGACATTTAAAGTCGTGAAAAAGGTCTTTTTTTCTCCTGTCTTTAATGAGAAATCAAAACATTATTGAAATAATCAGCTCTGTTAGATGACAGTTCCCTTTTGACTGCCTTTCTTCCACGTAACAGCAGCTTGGCTGGTTCAATCTTTGCTTGTCTTGTTAGCTTCAAACCTGTTTAAGACATGTCACATATAGGAACTTAAGTGTTACTTCACAGTCTTGATCCAGTAGCATTGACAAAACTAAGGGCTTAATACATCTCTTCCCAGGGAGAGGAGTTGTCATCTTCTCATCAAAATTACTAGATTGAATACAAATATAGCAAAAAGCTAACTCAAGTTGAAGGCCACAATCTATAATGTCCTGATTACCAAAAGATAGAAACAGAGACATCAGAGAATTCAGGATATGTCCTGACCTGCCACACAAATGAGCATATGGGCATCATGTCGAACGGCTTTGAATGGTCGTGGCTATTGGGAGAGGTGCCTGAGCACTGGAGGAAAGCAAATGTCACTTCTATCTTCAGAAATGTCCTGAAGGAGGAGCCCGGCGGTGCACAGTGTCAGAGCCAGAGGCAGTGGGCCTGCATTGAAACACAGGAGGGAAGGGTCCTTCTGAATATCAGGAAACACATTTTCAGTGTGAGGATGACTGAGCGCTGGCACAAGTTGCCCAGAGAGACCGTGAAGT